CTAATTTACTTATCACTCGCTCCCCACCTTCCCCACTCACCATTACCTTCGTCTTACCAATATTAACTTTTAACCCTTTCTTTTCAATAACACTTTTCCATCTGTCAAATTTTAACTGCAATTCTTCCATGCTATCAGCCATCAAGACTAAATCATCTGCATACAAAATCTCAAATAACAACCCCTCCATTATGTTTCCACACACAACATCCATCACAATTGCAAACAGAAACGGTGATAACACTGATCCTTGATGCATTCCTACCTTAACACTAAGAGCGTCCGACATCCCCCTTCCAACCCTCACCTTTGTCTTTGCCCCTTCATACGGCTGCATCACAGCTTTAACAAGTCTCTCATTCACTCCTTTCTTCCTCAACGCCCATTCAATGACCTTCCTTGGTACTCGATCAAAAGCCTTTTCTAGATCCACAAAACACATGTACAATCTTCGTTTCTTCTTTCTATAATTCTCCTGCAACATTCTCATCATGAACAACGCATCCACCGTTCCCCTACCAGGCATAAACCCACACTGCATTTCATTAACTGTCACCATACTTCTCAACCTCCTCTCAAGCACCCTCTCCACTACCTTCATTCCGTGCTCTAGTAATTTCACAAGAATTTCGTTCTATATCATAAGAATAGAACGAAGTAAAAATTGAAATCAAAAATAATGAAATCAAATAGCATAAAATCAAATAAAAGTTTAAAATAATATTATAAGTTAATTTAAAATAAAAATGAAATTTGTATAGCACAATTGTTTTTAGTATCAGATTTCTCTTAAGAATATACTGCTTTTTGTAATTTTAGGATGAATTTGTTGCCAAGTGTTATTAAAACTTGCAATAAAAATGTTCATTAATGAAAGCTGCGCTTTATCTTAATTGAAAGTCTAACAACCTTGAATAGATAAATCTTACAAGTTAATAATGACTCTTAGATCCTCAACATATGTGAATGTCAATGCCAGTATCTCTCAAATTTTTGATTTGAAAGAAAGATTTAAATAATTGTTCAACAGTTTCTCTATGAAAGAAAGCATCGCAATAATTAGAAACAATGAATCAACATAAATTTCAATATAATAACTTTACCTTTACCAGCTTTAAATAGATTACTATTGGGTAGGGCGTGATCAATAGGTGTCGTGTGTAGATCCTGCTCTTTCCTCATTTCTGCAATAGTACAATAAAGCATAAACAAAAATATTGAATGGAAAAGATAAATTTTAAGTTATATAGCTTCATGAAAAGTTTTTACTTTTGATTTAAATTGTTTTTCAACTAAAATGACGATTTTGGTTTAACATTATTCTAAATTCTAAATTTTTAATATAAAAATTCGATTTAAAAAGATACTTTGGTTTTTAATATAAAATATTTACTACAGTGCAAATTGAACTATTATAGTATAATAAAACATTAAATTATCGATTATCATAAAAAATTATAAAAGCCACGTGTGAATAAAAATAATTGACACCTTTGAAGATTGAACGAGGTAAAACTACATGTGAAGAAAACTCTTCAAACGTCATTTTCTTCTTATAATCGCAGAAAATTTTTTTCAAAGCTCTCCATCGACATTCATAGCTATATATTTCAAACAAAATTAAATTAAAAAACAGAATGTTACATTTTTGCAATCAAAATTTACTAAGGTTCATAAAAATTTTCTTGTAAGTGCAGGCTTCTGCTGGCATTGACTGCAGTATGTTTGATGAGACCAGGGAGTTTAATGGAATCTACAACAGTTTCATCATAAAGTGGTCCAAAATAATAATTCTGAATTGATAAAAAAGGGAGAAAATAAATGGTAAAATGGGTAAAGGCAAACAATTTGAAACAAACTTTTTACGATAACATTTTCTTGAATAATTTGATTTTAAAGTTAAAACATAAAAAATTTACATTTCAAGAAACATTTTCATGCTTGACCCTATCAAAATTTTTAATAAATTTTCAAAATCTTTATTTTCCAAATTATAAAAAAAACTTTAAAACCAAGCCGCTTTCAGTTATTCTTTACAATAGCAAATCTTGCTTCAACTTCTAAGATTACAGCAATTATCAACCAGATAAAAATAATGGTTACATAATTTTTCAAGGCTTTTTTTTAAATTTCTTTGGTTACACTTATTATTTATATCAAATTGTAAATTTCTTATCCTATTACCTAGCTATTATTGTATAACGGGTTTTATACATAAGTTTTCCTTACTGTTTATAGGCGGTTCATACAAAGTTTTTCAAACGTAAATTTTTGATGTTTTTGCTTTATGAGGACGTAATGTGGCTTAGAATAACTGCAATATCAACTCTTGAATATCTTGACAAAGCAAATTCTTATGTGGTGACGCATCAACAACTGTTATTTTTCTCAATTTTTAACAAAAAATTTTAATGGCTGCATTTGTTCAACTGCAACTGCCGGTGGGACAATAGAAAAAAAAGCAAACCTAGACTGACAAAATTAGAATGTCTTACATTGTTAAAAGTATGTAAAGCATACTTTGGATATCTAGCAAATAATTACCACACAATAATAAATTACCGCATTGCATTAAATCTGAAAATTCATTAGACTGCTGAAAAATATGTCTGTAGAAATAGATGACAACAGAAAAATAGGGGAGAGCGGGACATGTTGAACCAAATTTTAATACTTAACTCGTTAAACTTTTATTAATGTATTAAAAATTTAAAACTTTTTGAAATAGGACATTATTATATAAAATTACACGTCTATTACGTATCTCAAAAAGTATATTCAATTATAGCATGTTTCTTTGACGGGTATACTGGCAAGCCCGGTTCAACCTACCCCGTTCACAGGGGCATATTTATCCAATCATCGGTATTTAGTGAAATTTAAAACTAATATTTAATAACTGTTGTTAAGCAATTTTATTGCTATAAAGATATATTTTCAAATCTAAAAATTTATTAGTTAACATTAACTACAACAGCCAAAGTTTTGACCACGTTCTTGAAAAACAATAGCACCAACTTGCTTCGGACATTTATGTTCATACGATGTACAGAAATATATAGAAATTAATTCTTGTTTTGTCGATGTCGATACTTCTGGTTTAAACATAATAACGTTCATAAACTGCTGACATCTAAAATGCGGATACATATCCTAGCATCCAAACCAAAAAAATTCAATCAGCCACGGCAAGATACCTGGGTATTTTATGGCAAGATACCCAGATATCTTGCCGTGAAGAAACTATCGTAGAAATTCACATTATGTCGCTGCAGAGAACGTACATGTGGTTTTGTCAATCTATTATTGAACAAAATTTTATTTAAACTATTATGACTTGTCGACTACACCAACCACCGATAAAAAAAATGTAAACAAATTTTTTTGCATGGTTTCGTGCAACAAATTTACATCAACAAACCACCAGTTGCCCAGATGATTAAACATCAACCAATTTTCAAGACCGATAGAGCCAAGAAATGAGAAATAAATTAAAATTATTTCAATGATTAAACACGTTACTGACAGAGGTGTGAAGAGGATGTCCGTCAGTTGTCGGAAAAAAAGTATAAGGCAGCCAAAATAGAATTCACTTCATTGCTAAATGCTACTCAAACTATGAAGGTGATGAAAAAAATTTTTGAGCGAAGAATTAAGGACTAGGTTAGGTATTATTAATTATCCTCTTGAATGTTGATTTATCGTAATAACATTGAAGGCAAAACTTTTATTTTTCTATATAAACATTATATTAACCATATATAATCGATATACCAATATGTACGTAGCGATAATTACGTCAATACAGAAGAAACAGCAATCTGTTTCTTATATAATTTCCAATGTATCTACTATGTTTGTTAGTTTGTTTCTATGTATGTATGTATGAATGAATGAATGTATGAATGTATGTAAAAATATGTGATATATATATATATATATATATATATATGTAAAAATATATTAATGTAAATTAATCACATGTTTTAAAATGGATGGAGTTATAAATGTGAACAAATTGATGGGAAGCATATCGATTACTTCACCAGACAATTTTAATGGTTAACTTTTATAAATATGTTATTTTATGAAACAACAAGCAGCAAAAAAACTAAACGTTGTTTCTAAAAATGTGTAATTTTTATTAAGTTAATTCTGCAGAATGTAGTGAAAATATTCAACTACTGACCTTAGATTTCTGCTTTATTTGAACGCGATATAAACCACATTCAAGAGGATAAATAATAAGCAAAACATCACCAAATTCTGTCGGAATAATTCCATGTCTGTATTCGCGAATATGTTCGGACCAAATTATATGAACTTCATCATTCCCCAAGTGTCTAAGCTGGTTAAAAAATAATAATTTAGACTGATTGTTATTTGTAAAAGAACAAAATTGAAATTTACTTATCAATCTTTACTAGGAAAAAGGATCTAAACAAATGTTGCAATTTTTAATACCTTGCGAAGTTGTTCTTCTTCTCCATCACCAGGCATCATAGTAGCAACATGAAAAATAATTTCATTATTAGAAGAAGCATTATATGGCGCAAAGGCTCCATTTGATCCATTCGCTTGTAAACCCCCGGAGAAACCCATATGAGATTTCAGATCAACCTAAGGTTAAAAACAATTCAATTATGTTTAAAAACTTAAACAAAAAACCGTAATATAAATTAAATATTTAAAGAAATAAAAAAACAAACAAAAGCATTGTTGGTCAACAAAGAATTTTTTATTTATACGTTCTATAATTTAGTGTGTTGTGGATAAACAGTTTTAGTGGAAGAAAAATACTACGTAAGAGAAAATTATTTTACGGATTTATTTAAGTACTAAGTAAATATCTGTCCCTAATTAATTAAATGGAACCAAAAAAGGAAACAAAACCCATTAACCAAAATAACTTTATTTACCAAGCTCCATTAAATACCTAACAATACTATCACCAAATATACCACTAAGCAAGCTTTTTCCCTAAAACTCATCATAGAAACATATACAAATTACGTCACCTATTCTCTACTACCATGAATCAAAATGATCGCCAACAATCTTCGACTTTTGGCAAAAATAAACTACCAAAACAAAAATAAAATTTGCATCTGCCATTAAGCCAAAACGCCCAAAATAATAAATGAAACGTACGGCAAATGAAAATTTACCCAATCTGGGCTCAACAAAAAATCATTGATCTCATCAAGCAAAGAAACAATATCAGACAAGCAAATCCAAGCTCAAATAACATACAAACAATTGGTAACCTAACCAATGAAGAGAAAAAATTAAAATGGCATGAACCTTCATCACACTCTAGAAATAGAATTATCAACAATAATCAACTCCATAAAACCAGCTAGACAATCAAAAGCGTTTGGTCCAGATCAATTTACAATATTTTATTTAAAACACCTAGGACAAAACGGAATTTATTATCTTACACGCATCTTCAATCAACGTTTAGAAACATGCGCAATACCTCAAATCTACAAGACATCCCCGAAAATTCTAATTTTCAAAGCTGAAAAAGAATCAACTTCCTACCACCCAATTTAACTACTGTCTCCAGCAGTTAAATATCTAGAAAAATGTCTACCACCCATCATCAGCAAAAAAAGTATATATCACCTATCATATATCATGATATATATACTTAAACACTGGCTGAGGCGCATCCCCAGGTGGTGGATAAGGGAAAGTTCTGGACAGGGAAACCTTCTAGGATTGCATCGAATAATACGGAATAAGATGCCGCGAACCAACTGCGCCAGAAGAAAGAAGACAACGGTGAAAGAGGCGGAGGATCGTAAGACAACGGCTCCAACGGCGGATGATCTTGTGGAACAGGGACCTTAGACAAAGGCTAGGTGCACTGCTTACAATAGAAATAAACTGCAACTACGCTGCCTAGGCCCACTGGTTATAACTGGTGGTTGTCGTTAGAAATTGGGCAATTCCAGATATAAAATTTTTTTGACTTGACCCAAACATCTTCCATGTCATCACAAAAAAAGATCCCCTATTCACTGAAAGACCTTAAATGGTTGGGGAAAGACCCCCAATAGTCTATATATATATATATATATATATATATATATATATATATATATATCATTTGATTTTATATATATGGTATCTCTGATGTTGGTGTTCTCCTGTCGGCATCTGAGAGTGTGTTCCATAAGTCATTTTGCCGTCTTCAGATTCACCGGTCTATGGTGCATATGCAGAGAA